ATCAGCTTTCAAGAAGGGTGTTGGCCAACTGTTGGCCTGCTGGAGGCTGGCCAGAAGGGAGGCAGCAACAGCTATCTAAGCATAGAAAGCAGGGCAGAGATGGAGAGACCGAAAACATCCTCAATAAGCAAAACTGAAAACTAAGCAAAGAGATGAGAACAGTCTTCAAATGCTAAGATGCAGAGCCCATCTGTGCTCTCTCCTACAAAGAAAGACTGAGAGAGTTTGGGTTGTTCAGCCTGGAGAAGAGAAGGCTCCGGGGAGACCTTCTAGCACCCTTCCAGTGCTTAAAGGGGGCCTGTAAGAAAGATGGGGCCAATCTTTATAGCAGGGCCTGTTGAAATAGGACAAGGGGTGATGGTTTTAAACTAAAAGAGGGCAGGTTCAGACTAGATATGAGGAAGAACTTTTTGCGATGAGGGTGATGAAACACTTGAACAGGCTGCCCAGAGAGGTGGTAGAAGCCCCATTGCTGGAAACATTGAAGGTCAGGTTGGACGGGGCTCTGAGCAACCTGGTCTAGCTGAAGATGTCTCTGCTCGCTGCAGGGGGATTGGACTAGATGGCCTCTAATGGTCTCTTCCAACCCAAACCATTCTACAATTCATCTGCCCTCAGCTGGGTGCAATGCTCTCCTCCACCATACACAACTTTGATGCTGGATTTAATATGGACCTGACTTAGACTCGGATTGATGCATGTCTTTGAGAAGGCCGTAGTCCTTGGTAACCTGAGATTTGTATTTATTCAGGGCTGCTTTTCTGGCCCACCACCTTCACCTTTCACCTGGTGGGCTACTGCTGCAAAGAAAACACTTGCTACCTCTACCCTCATTCACATTCCCAGTGGGTTGTCACCCACTCTTACCCTCCATCTGTGCCAGGGATGTTCTCTCCTTGTCTGTCATCTCCAGAGGGTATCTTCACACTCTTCCTTGGCATGAGGAAGACAAAGGAGGTGTTGCAAGTAGTCCCTGGGTTGTACAGTCTAAGCAGAGGAGTACCTCAGAGCTGTGCAAGCTCTTGTCTGTCCAACGCACACTCCCTGCGATGAAAGATATTCCTGTGTGTCTTCAGCAGTTAAGCATGTTTTCTGTGTGTTCGGCTGAGCTGCCTGCCTCTGAGCTTCCTAGAGACCGTGCTGGGCAATGGTCCCATGGGCCAGCCTTGCCCAGATAGCTAGTGCAATTGCAAAGAGGGGGTCGAGGACTTTGCTGAGTGGTGCAGTGCAATTCTCCTAGCATCACATCACCTCCCCTTCAGGATATCTGCCTCCTCAGCCAGCCCTGGGGCATCTTCCCCCTTAGACATCTCCAGTACAGGTATCTGAGTCCAACACCTGACTGCAGCTGCTTCCTAGGCGTGCTTGATGATCTCTGCTGAGCACACAAGGTATCTAAAAGCATTTTCCAGATAGACAAGTTAGCACAAGGTAGATCCCACCCATGGTAGCAGCAGCATCATATCCCTGCTCAGCCGTGTGATTACCTGGGTGACTCAATCTTGTAGGGGACCTGGGAGCCTGGCTGTCCTGTCCAGGGACAGACCATCCTGCCGCTGGCACATCTGACTTTGTCAAGACCGGGAGGAGGTCTCACGCCAACCAAAACATTAACTGGATTGTGAACACACAAAAACCTTGCCAACAAATTTCACAAAGCCTTCCTGTCTCTTGGGACAAACATGGGAGAAAAACTGAAAAAAAAACCTTCCCCTTTTGGAAGAGGCTGCTTTCAGCAGTGGGAAAAGGTTTCGTGCATGAACAGCATGGGATCATACCCATTTTCCCAGCTAAGCCTGAGCACCGATGCCCTATTCCTGCAGCTGCCTGAAGCCAGTCCTGGAAGGCAACTTCCAAGCCCTATCTCCCCCTGTCCCTGCCACTGATGGTCCAGAACCAGATGTCCTGAGAGGATTTGTTTGCTCAGCCGATTCCCGAAACTGCCCGGTTGCACAATCCTGCCGCTTACGAGATGCTCATGGCACAGGAATCACTTCCTGGCAGAGGCTTGGCTTTTTGTGCTTGCTGAGCCCCTGCCACAGGGTGGAGGTTTTTGGAGTGGAGGGGAGGAGCTGTGACAAGGGGGACTTCTCAAATAGCCAGTCCCTTGGGTGCATGTCCTGCTTCCCCCCTGCCCTGCTCTCCCGTGCAGACGACAAGTGCACAGTATCTTTGCTACCAACATGAGGCTTATCCTCCTGGCATGTCTCTGGGGTAAGTGAGGTGGGATTTTTTTTCTCTTTGCTTTTGGCATCTCTTAGCCAGTGGTTCTCATCTTCCACTATTTCTTCTTCCACAGCCCGCAGCACAAGGCAAATGGGGCATTGCAAGTGTTGCAAATCTGCAGTGGTGAGAAAAAGTTCTCTACACAAAGTTGGAGAAGTAGAGACGTCCTTTATTGATGATGCGCACTGGGGACATGGGATCCTTCCCAAAGATGTGCGCCTGCACGTTGCAATCAACAAATATTTATATATTAAATTCATACATATGCCGTCTATACAATGCATATTCATTATCATTCTCTTGATGATTGGTTCAGCCTCTGTTGTAGTCTTCTATTGTTCCCTTTTGAGTAGGGGGTATAATTTGGGTAAGTGGTCCATGAATCGGAGGTCTCGACCACTCCCCGAATTGACTAGGTATGATCAAGGAACATGTCCTTGGCTCGTAGGCTCTTGGCTCGTACCTACTTTGGTCATGATTCAAAGATTACACACAATGGGTACCATCATAAATCCTGTCTAGCAGACATCTTGGACCATAACACATTATCCTTGTTTCTAACCATTAATAGAGTATTGGTTAATGAACACCTTAGGTCTGGGACTTTACAGGGGTATGCTAATAGCATTGGCAATACAGATTTTATTTTATATTTGATCATTTATTTCGTTTGAAACTTATTTTCCCAATATAATCATTAGTCTCTCCTACTAATATCCACTGATTAGAATTCTTGATATTCAAATCAAGATGGGAAAAGTAAGGGGATTTCCAAGCAGTATCCTAAAATCCTAAATCTGGTCATTTCTGCAACACAAGGAACTGAAGATCAGTGGTGTGTGATCCATACCTGATAGCTGAGTGTGAACACTCAGATCCCCTCAGATGGCACCCGGCAGCCACAGGTGGACAGCTGGATGCTGCCTGACCTTGGCACCAGTGCCTAGACACCTCGGGAAGTGTCTCATTTTGGAACTGAATCCCAGCCCTCGTGAGCAGGGACAGCAGCACACAAGGTGGTGTTCTCTGCCCCTGTTTCTCTACTGTGGTTTCCCTGGCCTGTGTGGGGTCACAGCATCATGGTTTGGGTTGGAGGGGAACCTTTAGAGGTCATCTAGTCCAACCCCCTGCAGTGGGCAGGGGCATCTTCAGCTCGATCAGGTTGCTCAGAGCCCCGTCCAACCTGACCTTCAGTGTTTCCGGGGATGGGGCATCTACCACCTCTCTGGGCAGCCTGTGCCTGTGTTTCACCATCCTTACTGTAAAAAAGTTCTTCCTTGTCTCTTCCTTTCTTCCTGTGTGTCAGGGATGAGACCAGACCTGGTGGCAACGGGCAGAGGCACTGAGCGTACAACTGGAATTTACAGAGAAGGGGGATGACCTTTAGGCATCTCAGCCCCTAGACCTTGAAAATAGCTAAAAACAAACAAAAGGCAAATGGAAAATAGTCTTACCTGGGCAATAACACTAATGCTTGTCCTAATGCTTGTCCCAGTGTCAGCAGTTCTGCCTGTGCCCAAAGCTGTTGGTTAATGCTTGGGATCTTGCCAGACTGCTGCATTTAGGAGCAGAAATTGTTGTTTGTGTTGAGCTGTTCTTTGCTGTTGACCTTCTACAGTGGGCACAAAGTCCATTCTCCCGAGTTTCCAGGAAAAACAGATCCTGGCAAGTTTTTCCTCAGGCTTCATGTCCCAGGGTTTGTCTCAGCCTCTAGTTAATCCTCAGGGAAATCTTCTGAATGGGAATAGCCTCTTCTCGTTAGTCTCCAGAGGCATTCCAGCCTGAAGGCGCTTCTTCCTACAACCCATTAGCAGGCCCACAGCTGTTCCCATGGCATTTCATTGCTGCCAGTGATGTCTGCGGGACTGACACCAGTCCTGGGGTTAATTTTGTCTGGTGTCTGCCTGAAGTTCAGAGATGGCAACGCTGCTTCTTGGTCCGGCCCTGACCGAAAGGAAAAAATAAAAATGCCGTGCTGCTTGCCACTCATCACATTTTCAGCAGTTTCCGTCAGCGGTGTACCTCTTGCCTGGCGGTTGGTAAGAGCTGGGTGTCACATCCAGAGTCTCTAGGCAGAGGCAAGCACCTCCAGCCCCAATTTGACTCTCTGCCCTGGACACCAGCAGTAGGATGAGATTGGTATGGATCAGCCATGACTCAGCTCTTTCCACTGGCTGTCACAGGAGCGTAGATAATATAATCTAATCTAATCTAATCTAATCTAATCTAATCTAATCTAATCTAATCTAATCTAATCTGCCTGGACACTGACTTTCAGGTGACTGAATCCGTACAAGAGGAGTTCCAACTGCTCTGTTGTGGTATTTTCACATTATCTGCCCAAACCAATTTTTTTTTTCGCCGGTAGACTTTTTTTGTTTGGTTGTTTTTTTTCCCCTTCTCTGATCTCTTTATCAAGAAAGTGCCATGGACGTGCACTAGGATAGGCAAAGCCCATTGACAGCTGGCTTTGGGAGTCAGAGAGCGATGATGGGCTCTAACAGAGCTCACAGAGTCTTACCTCCTGCCTGGTGTTTTGCTGCCCTGAATCTCTGCACTCTGCAGAGTTCATCAGACTCAGACTAACGTCCTGTTTTTCTTCTGTTTCAGCTTCCCTTGCAGGAGTCCTGCTGGCAGGTCAGTATTTGTAGTGGAGAGTGGAGCATAAGTCAGCACACACAGCTATCATAAAATGTCATGCAGAATTGTGCTATGTCTGATCTGGAGATTTAAGTGTTCTGCTCGGGACCAAGAGAGCTTGGTCTGAAACCTATTTCTGATCTTCTGTCTGTAAACCACATTCTCCTGATTAGACGATGGAGAAGACCTGACTCTATCTCCTGTATGCTCTGTGAGGTGCAGCTGGTGGCTGCTGGAGATCTCTGGGTGAAAGGAGCAGTACTGATCCAAAACATTGACAAAACAGCTGCTCATTTTAGCAAAGTTAAGCCAGGAGTTGGGGTATCCTCGATGCTGGGGTCTGATCTCCATGGGATGGAGGAATGCCTGGTGTCCCCTTGGCTCTGTGAGCCAGTGTGGAGGTGCCTCAGGATTTCAGACCCTAGAACTTTTCAGTCCATGAATTTCCCCGAGTACAGCACCCCAGATCTGTGCAAAGGGACAATGATATCTGGATTTTGTTCTTGATATTAGGGTGGCCAACTGTTGTGATCAGAGGTTTGGCAACTGGAGCTGGGTTTTGAGAGGGATTGTGTGTCCTGGTGGGTTCAACAACAGGAACAGGACTGAGTAGGTCCTTTCCACTCCCGAGTGCTGACTGTCTGTAGGTCCACAACAGCACCCAGTAATCACTTCCAATAGCTTCCCTTTCCCTTGGGGAATGGGTAGAAATGTCTCAATTCTTTCCTCCCTGCTTCCAGTCCTTATAGCAGCATTTGCTGGGAGACACTGGCCTTAACTACGGGGAAACTTACCCAGAACCTGAATGCTGGGGTAGGTTTTGGGGGAGCCACACCTCTCCCTTTACAGCTGAAAATGAGCCCTGTGATTTGTATCTCAAAACAGACTTATAGTCCCGCAAACACCTGCTTTTTTTGGCCATTCCCAGCTCAAAACCCGGTTCCCAACCACCAAAGATTTGGGATGCTAGCATATCCTGAACTTTTCTTCCTCCTGGTTTGGCAATAAAGGCAGCCTCACTGGGGAAGAAGACCACTCTTTCTCGTTCCCTGTCTTCACCCTGGGGTGTTTGCTTTCTCCAGAAGATGTAGACACAAACGAACGTGAGATCCGTCTGGTGGGTGGCCCCAACCACTGCTCCGGGAGAGTTGAGGTGCTTCACGAGGATGTCTGGGGAACCATCTGTGATGACCAGTGGGATTTACGGGAGGCAAAGGTCGTGTGCCGGCAGCTGGGCTGTGGGACGGCGCTATCGGCCCCTCGGGAGTCAAAATACGGGGAAGGGAAGGGCCAAATCTGGCTGAGTGATGTGAACTGCAAAGGGACAGAAGCGTCCCTCACCGAATGCAAGGCAAAACCATGGGGAGACAACATCTGCAACCACGTGGAAGATGCCAGTGTGGAGTGTTCAGGTAATCCCCAGGTGTTTTCTACCTCATGCTACATTGGCCCTTCTGCCTTAAATAAGCCAGGGTACAATTTCTGACCCATCTAATTAGGAGGTCAGAATGCAGAATGACTTGTTCAGCTCCGGCTTCTTACCCTACTTGGCCCAGAGAAGTTGCATCCCATCCTCTGGACCTGGAACAACCTGCAGAGCTGGGAGAGGACAGATAGTCCCCTCCCTCCCCTGACAGCCTCCATGCTGATATTATTTTCCCTTCAGCTTTTCTTCTCAAGCCAGAAGTTAGGAAGGGAGCCTTTGACAGGTATTTGGATGAGCGGAGACAGTTTTGGTGCATCATGAGAGATTCTGCTTTCTCTAGGTGGTCAGGGGCACAGAGACTTGCCCTAAACCTTCTCCCTCATTTGTTTTTGGCAGGAGCAGAAATACCTGAGCCAGGGCCAATCCGGCTGGTGGGAGGCCCGAACCGATGTGCCGGGAGGGTTGAGGTGCTTCATGAAGAACAGTGGGGCAGTGTGTGCCATGACGACTGGGATCTAAATGACGCCCAAGTAGTGTGCAAGCAACTGGGCTGTGGGGACGCCGTGCTGGCCCCCATTGCTGCCAAGTTTGGACGAGGAACTGACACCATCTGGCTGGATGATGTGAACTGCACAGGGATGGAAGCTGCTCTCTCTGAGTGCCCGGCGAGGCCATGGGGGGACCACAATTGTTACCACGGGGAAGATGCCAGTGCAGTTTGTTCAGGTAATCCTTCCATTCTCCTGCTTTTGCCGCCAGCCATGGATTAGGGTGTCCTCACAGTCAATGTGGGCACCACCTTGGACGGGAACAAGGGCTTCCTACGGAGCACTCTCCTACGGAGACGGTGCTAACCTAATAGTCCTGCTGGTGGCCTGGGGTCCTCACACCATGGAAGAGGTCTTCAGTCTCGGAGATTTTCTCCTCTCTGCTCACTGGGGTGCTCTGTGGTCATTCTTCTTCAGCTCAGGCTTGAGGTTGAGAATGCTGTTGTGCTTCTTGCTTGGACAATTGCATGTCGTATGAGGAGAAAGCTATGGAGAAGATGCTGCTGTGTGCAGGGCAGGGCAGGGATACTCAGGGAAGAGGGGGGACACACACCAATGCACATCCTGAGCATGCCCTCTCTGGATGTGTCTGCAGACTCGGGGATCACCGTCTCCGCTTCAGTCCGACTGGTGGGTGGCCCCAACCGCTGCTCTGGGAGAGTCGAGGTGCTTCACAAGGGCGTCTGGGGGACCATCTGTGATGACCAGTGGGATTTACGGGAGGCAAAGGTCGTGTGCCGGCAACTGGGCTGTGGGACGGCGCTATCAGCCCCTCGGGAGTCAAAATACGGGGAAGGGAAGGGCCAGATCTGGCTGAGCGATGTGAACTGCACAGGGACAGAAGCGTCCCTCACTGAATGCGAGGCAAAACCATGGGGAGACAACATCTGCAACCACGTGGAAGATGCCAGCGTGGAGTGCTCAGGTAACATCCCCTCTGTCCCCCATCCCACACGTGCTAGGCAGTAGGATGGGCAGATTCCACCACACACATGACCCCTGCCTGGATCAGGGCTGGGCTGGTCCTGAGCCCTGGTACAACTCTGTGACTGTCTGCTGATGGGAACAAGAGAGGGATGCAGCTGATTAATGCATCCCATCACTGGGTGCAGTGCTCGCCCAGTGACCAAGAGGATACGTGTATGTAGATGACCAAGGAGCAGCATTAAATCCTCTCCTACCTGAGACTGTTCTTGTCCCTTGTCCCACCTCTGGGCTGCAGGGTGATTGGCATCAGCAGACTCCTTGAAGCAGACATACAGTACAGCCTGCGGCCATCCATGAAGGCCAAGAAAGCTTCCTGGAGCACCTCCCCTGTGAGGACAGGCTGAGAGAGTTGGGGTTGTTCAGCCTGGAGAAGGCTCCAGGGAGACCTTAGAGCGGCCTTCCTGTGCTTAAAGGGGGCCTACAGGAAAGATCGAGAGGGACTCTTTATCAGGGAGTGTAGTGATAGGATGAGGGGCAATGGCTTTAAACTGAAAGATAGATTTAGATTAGATATTAAGAATAAATTCTTTACTGTGAGGGTGGTGAGACACCAGAACAGGTTGCCCAGAGAAGCTGTGGCTGCCCCCTCCCTGGAAATGTTCAAGGACAGGTTGGATGGGACTTTGAGCAATCTGGTCTAGTGGAAAGTGTCCCTGCCCATGGCGGGGGCGGGGGGTTGAGCTAGGTGATTTTTAAGGTCCCTTCCAACCCAAACCATTCTGTGATTCTGTGATTCCTCTTGCCCTTTTCCCATAGCCCTGGCTTTTCTGTCTCCTTTCCCACCCAGAGAAGCCCAGCCCCTGCTGTATCTCCACTGTGCTTAGAGACACCTGAGTCTCTGTGGAGCAGGCAAGCTTTCCACTGGTGGTGGGGTGTGTAGGATGCTCTCTTTACGTTTATTTTCTGGTCATTGGTGCAGAGGTGGACATTCCCGAGCAGGGGCCCATCCGGCTCATGGATGGCCCAAACAAGTGTGCTGGGAGAGTCGAGGTGCTCCATGAGAACCGGTGGGGCAGTGTGTGTGACGACCGCTGGGACATGAAGGACGCCAAGGTGGTGTGCAAGCAGGTGGGCTGCGGGTCACCGCTGTCGGCTCTGGGAGATGCCCAGTATGGGCGAGGGTCAGATATCATCTGGCTGGACGATGTCGAATGCAAGGGGACAGAAGAAAGCATCGCTGACTGCCAGGCCAGGCCGTGGGGTGAACACAACTGCTATCATGGAGAGGACGCCACTGTTGTTTGTGCAGGTAACTCCCCATCACCGTGTTGCAAATCTCTAGTGGTGAGAAAAACTTCTCTACACAAAGTTAGAGAAGCAGAGACGTCCTTTATTAACGATGCACACCAGGGACGTGGGATCCTTTCCCAAAGATGTGCGCCTGCACGTTGCAATCAACAACTATTTATATATTAAATTCATGCATATTCAGTCTATACAATGCATATTCATTATCGTTCTCTCAATGATTGGTTCTTCTCTTCTCGCTTCTGATGCAAGTTAGGGCGCAGCCTCTGTCCTAGTCTTCTGTTGTTCCCTTGTGAGTAGGGGGTATAATTTGGGTAAGTGGTCCGTGAGTCGGAGGTCTTGACCACTCCTCGAATTGACCATGTTTGGTCAAGGAACATGTCCTTGGCTCGTAGGCTCTTGGCTCGTACCTACTTTGGTCATGATTCAAAGTTTATACACAATGAGCACCATAATAAATCCTGTCTAGCAGACATCCTGGACCATAACACATTATCCTTGTTTCTAACCACTAATAGATTATTGGTTAATGAACACCTTAGGTGTGGGACTTTACAGGGGTATGCTAGCAGCATTGGCAATACAGATTTTATTTTATATTTGGTCATTTATTTCATTTGAGACTTATTTTCCTGAAATAATCATTAGTCTCTCCTACTAATATCCACTAATTAGAATTCTTGATATTTAAGTCAAGATGGGAAAAGTAAGGGAATTTCCAAGCAGTATCACTGGTGCCTAGCAGGTTTCAAGTTTCTCTAGTTTTTAGACTGTAACCACCTGGTGAGGTTTTTATGATTACAAGTCTCAAAACACACATACACACTTCTGACATCCTAAATCTCGTGATTTCTGCAACAACCGTGGCATCTGACAGGGTCAAACTCTTAGCTGAGCCAGCAGACTGCACTGCAGGGTACAGAAGGGGAATCACAGGGCAGGAAGGCTCCCCCTAGCTCAGAATAATTCTGGTGGAGGCAGGGCAATAGATACAGCAAGAAGCCATAAGGAATATAGAGCATCTGGTTAGGATGGGTGTAGTGGGACCAGCTGGTGGGAGAGGGGCATTGGCAGAGCAGATGCAAACACACTGGTGACAATCTGTCTATGGGGTGGATCCTGCTGTGGAGATGCTGACAAGGGGGGGTTATATAGGGCAAGGCTCCTAAAGGGCAGAAATAGGGAAGGTGGGGCAGTTTCTGGGGCAGGGAGCAACAACAAGAATCTGTGGAGGCAACGGAGTCTGGGGCAAGATGCCTCTGTATCAGTACAGCATCAATACTCGGTAAATGTCTAAGTTGGACTCTCCGAAGCTCTTGGGAGCTGCGTTGCTGACTTCTCATGCCTTGTTTCTTGGGAGAGAAGCTTGGATAGGCCCTGCATGGGTGAAGGGAGGAATCCCTGGGGGGCTTTGACTGGTTTCGTTATGGAGGAGCAGGGCTGTAGGGGCTTGGATTTCAGCTGGCTGCTGCACAGGTTCATGCTGTCAGGACTGGGTGCTGCAGTCCTCTGGATCAAGCAGTGCATTGTGCATCAGGGTCAGAGTCTGAACTTCATGAAGTCCTCTCCTGGCTCCCACGGGGCCCTGTCCACAGCTCAGATGTTGTATTCCTGGCAGCCCCAAATATATAGATATAACCCGACCTGCTGACCTTCTTCAGGAGCAGAGACCTTGTCCCTTCTAGCAGGCAATTCTGGTATCAGACAGTTCCTGGGAGTACATTTTGCTTTACCTTGCTCCCTTTCTCTGCAGTTAACGAGAACCTGGAGGAGTCAGAAGCACCGTGAGTGCCAGACTGGCCCCACTGGACCATGCAGGAAGATGGGCCAGCAAGATTCAGCTAAGAAGACGAAGGGCAGGGATGTTGCAGAACCATCAGTGTGCCCTAGCAGCATCCAGCATTTGGCAAAACCGTTCTCTCTCATCCTTTGAAGGATCTACAAACTTGGTTATAACTGCACTGATGGAAAAACCCAGCTCAACACATTATTACCACTGAAAAGCAAACATCACAAAGTATCAATAAAGTTCCCCTAAAACCGAACATCTGTCTGTCTCATAAACTGCTCGTGGACCTCTGCTGCTTGAGCATATATCTGGCAGGGAGCTGTTGGTCCAACATGGTGAATATTGATTCGATGAGTGACTATGATGAGTATTGATCAAAACGGTATGGCAGCGCACCATTTCTCACGTCTGCAGAGAAACGTTTGCCTCCACTGACATTCAGACCAGTGACAAGGGCAGCCGTAAGAGCCCTGGGATGTGAACATTGCACCGCACAAGCTTATCTCTGAAGATAAGCTGCCTGTCCCACCCTAGTGGGAGAACTGCACCCCTTAGGGAGAAGTTCACCCCTTTTCCTCCTTCACTTTTCCCACCACCCAGCTGGTGGATAATTTCCCGTTTCAGCAATGTCTGATCAAGACTTAGCCTCCAACACAGATTTTTTTGTGATTTGTTGCTTTCCAAAAAGCAACGCACTTTGTGCCTGTCAGCACAACACAAATTCTTTAATCCCAATGAAGAGAAGAGCAAAGGTCTTTAGCTCAATATTGACACTGGGCATCTCCAAATTAGTTGGCCACATCAAGCTGGTTTTACGGGAAGGGCAGAGGACTATGCCCTCTCCCTCACCTCCCCCCCAGTCCAGTTCACCCTGTTCTGAATCAAGCCTAAGCAGCTCATATCATCGTGGTTTTAGGAGGCGCCCTGGTTCAGTCTGACTCTGGGGAGGGCAGAAATGAGGTGTAGCTGGTGGTAATCTGACCTCAACGCAAAGCATCACACAGACTCACACGAAAAGGAAGTTCACGTATATGCCTACATTTTTATTTTTATTTTAAACAGATGAGAAGAGGCACAGAGATTGTTTAAGGCTTGGAGGGAATATCTCAGAGGGCCACGAGGTTCAGTCTGTCTTACTTAGGAGAGGGCAAGCTATGTGAGGACTTCGGTGCAGTAACTGGACACTTCTGGGGGAAGGGTGCTGGCGACCCAAAGCTGTCCAAGCCCATACAGCCAGAGGATGAATTGGCATGGGAACTGTATGGCCTATTGGGCAGGAAAGGCATGCTAGTGTGAGACACTGCAAGAATTCAAGTTGACTTCAAGTGCCCAACACTGTTCTCCAAATATTCCTTCCACCTCTGAGAGAAGATGCCTGGAAACTTGTCTTGTGGAAGGAATTGCGGCCAGTGGGACCATGCGCAGGCATCCCCAAAGGTGATTAGACACAACGTCACCCAAAGGTTCTTCTACAGCTAGGGGAGGAAGAGGCATTCGAGGTGATTCAGAGGGTAGCTGGGCCGTCTTGCCCCGTGCAGTTTGCTATCGCTCTTCATTAACTGAATAGGTTCCCAGTGCGAAGATGCCTCTGATTTGGGCACATCAGTTGGGTGTTTGCATTTGAGTGTGACAGTTCTGAGCCTCTGCTGTTTGCTTCTGTACTGCATGCTCTTTGGACTTCAGAAATCACTCTTGTTTGGGTTAAATGGAGGTTGTACTCATGCTGGCTGACAACATCATCTTTCTTCTCCACTCTGGGGAGAACATCTGGGAGGTTTAGGTCCCACCTGGAAGGCAAAAGCAGCTTGCTTTAGCCTGACAAGCCACTGAAAGTTACTAGTGAGCATATAATACATAGTGATATTTGAAAAATGCAAATAGGAAAAATGTGACATGGAGGGATGGGAATCATCCCTCAAAACACCAAGCTCCAACTCTGCAACTCCAACGTCACCCTGTGGTACTTGTCTAAGACAAGAAGGTTAGACTGGGAAAGAACAAAGAGCCACCAGCCCCAACATCCAGCCTAGAAGCTTAGTATCGACTAATGCCTAGTAGGATGAGACATTGGTGAAGGTTACCTGAGCATACAACGCCCGCATCTTCTCCGTGATTACAGTTATGGACACCCCAAGGCCTCGCCGCACACTCAGAGAGGGCTGATTCTGTACCAGAGCATTTAATTTCATCCAGCCAGATACGGCCAAAACCTCTCCCAAAATAAGCTGAACCTGGGGCAGACATGGCCATCCCACAGCCCAGCTGCTGGCACACCACTGCAGCATCTCTCAAGTCCCAGTTGTCATCACAGATCGTGCCCCACTGCTGGCCATGAAGCACCTCAACTCTCCCGGCACAACGACTGGGGCCATTCGCCAGCCGGAGCAGAGGCACTTCTGGAGTACCTGCACAAAAAGCAACCAAGAAGGATAAATGCACACAGTTCGCTGCACCTGAACCCTGCTGATGCGTTGTAGGGGACGAGTGCCAATGAGGCTGTCCCATGGATGAAGAACAGATGGCTAAAGAGGACATTTTGGCCATCCATTTAGGGTTACCCCAAAGTCTGTGTGGCTCTGCATTGCCCACAGACTGTCAGAAATGTCCCAGTTAGGACTGGGAGTGGCATTTCTGTCTCCCAGCCAGTAAGACGTGCTAATGCATCCCTTCCAAGCAGGCATGTTTCAGATGGTTTGTGTGAATCCCTGCCAACACTACAGTGACATGGGACGCTGTGCCTGCTCTGAATAAATAGCAATCTGCTGGTCTGAGCTCTGAAATCAAAATCTAATGTTATCTACAGTCAAATCCCGCAAAAATTGAACAATTTAAGAGCCTCCAATTAGATGTCTTTTCCCATTTGAGATGCATTGGGGCATCCTTGCCATCCTCTAGCTATCGTGTTGGAAGGGTGTCAGTCTCATGGCTCCAGGACCATATCAGCCAGCCCCACATAGATGTCTGCATACTCTTAGGTGTCTTATATGGCATGGGAGACCTACGGCCAGGAACACGATGCGTGCTCAAATAAACCAGGTCACATGTGTGAAGCTTTGGAATGTCCATCAGTGAACAGACTGTCCAATGCCCAAATTCATGAAACTTTCTTTTGGCCTTACACATTTTACTCCAGTTACTGCAATATTCACCATATGCTTTCTGGATAATTTGCTAGGAGAAAGCAGATTACGGTAATGTATCCTAATAGACACTTAATCTTCCTTGAAAATTCTCATAGCTGGTAAAGACAGCTGTTTTGGACAATAAATGGTCTTAAAAAGCATCAGCCAACCTTTTCCTGCACTGAAGCAGTGTGCCAAATAAAATTAGCCAAAAGAGGAGGTTAAAATTAGGTTTTTAACAAAGGGTCTGTCCTGTCCATAGCTGAGAACCCAGCAGTGGGTGACAGCATTTCAACCAGCTCAGCTCAGGCATGTACTTTGCTATGTTCACGGTGGGGGAGATGACTCCTCTTGAAAGAGCATTTTGTTCTCCTGAAGTTTCCCAAAGCTTTTGATGGAAGGAAGGGCGGAAGGTCTTAAGGAAAGCTCTGCTAGCTTCTCGCTCTGACATCCCAGAAATGTAGAAAAGAATGAGTAAAAGTTGAGAAAACAGAATGCCTGATTTTAAAGAAAATACTGGGATTGTTTAGGATTACCGTGAAAGTATATTAGCCCAGGTTTTCCAGACTGGATAAAGGTCTGCTGGTTTGACCTCATAGCTGACCTTGCTTTAACTGATGTAGAGAACTGCTGTCGTCCCTTCAACCTGAATTATTCTACGAGCTTCTCAATTGCTTTAACAAAGCAAGAGGTTTCTTCAGAATTGCAGATTGTAAGAGACACTGGGTTGAAAACTGAAAAAGCACTTAGATACAAGGGCTGCAAAGACACATTCAGTGTTTTCAGCTTTCTAAAATTCTCTATAAATCCTGAAATGGGACATTTTATTACTTCTCGTGATAGCATGAAACAGACTTCCCAATCAACCAGCCACCAAGACTTGCTGACAACACTGCTTAGTTTTCCTGTGGTATTCATGTAACAGTGTGGACTCAGAGGTGACTCTCTGTATGACACCACAAGCCTGTACCTCAGCAGAAATGAGATATTTCTGGGACTTTTCCAACCCTGGAAAAGTCTTGGAGCCTTTATTTGCTGAGGTGCTGGATACAAACCTTGATACAGCCACCAGCTTGGGGCTTGCTGATGGTGACTCCACGATTCGGGATCAGTGATGACTGCTGACCATGGTCAGGCCATGAGTGTTGTATAAATTACATAGGAATGGGTTTATATGCCATGGTGGTTAATAGGACTCACTAGGAGCATCATAAGCTCAAAGAAGACCTTCCATTGAGGGTGAAAACATTTCCCCAGCATGTTTTGCCAAAACCATCGAGACTCAGACACAGAGAGGGGCTTACCTGAGCACACCACACCAGCGTCTTCTCCATGATTGCAGTTATGGGACCCCCAAGAATTAGCCTTACACTCAGAGAGGGCAGCTTCGTTCCCTAAACAAGCCACATTGTCCAGCCAGATTGGGTCACGCCCTTGCCCAAAATGAGCTGAACCAGGGGCTAACAGCACTGTCCCGCAGCCCAGTTGCCTGCACACAACACTGGCTTCAGCTATATCCCAGTTGTCATCACACACGGTTCCCCACCGCTGCTCATGAAGCACCTCGACTCTCCCAGAACAACGATTCGGACCGTTCACGAGCCGGACAGCAGCTGGTTCTGCAACACCTGGATCAAAACACAGTGGCAAAGTGTTTGAGGAGCGTTGTAAAAGTTGTGGACATGGGTGGTGATCAGCAGAGCATGTGA